ACAACTGGGGCAAACTTACACTCTTTCGAAGAACACTTCGAACCGTACACGCCCATAAGAGGCGATAGGGCAACCTTACGCTCTTGCGAAGAACACTTCGGAATTGTACAGGCCCGCTAGCAGAGAGAGGGTAAGCTTACGCTCTCTCGAAGAACACTTCGGAACCATTCAGGCTCTCTAGCAGCAATAAGGCACACCAGAGAGAGGGCAAACGTACACTCTTTCGAAGACCATCTTGGAATCATTCAGGACCTCTGGCAGAAATAGAGCACACTTACGCTCTCTCAAACTAACACTTCGATATCGTACAGGCCATCAACAGCTGACGCAAGAGTCGCTATGCCTTAAGCACATTGTCACAAAGAACAACAACAGATCGACTAATAGATTATAAATATAGATTATTACATCCTTCAAGAGATAGAAACCTTACTATTAATCGCTCTTACGTGTGACTAGCTCTTCTACAGCTACCCTTAAATAATAAAGATACAATTGATTACTTAACCTATTCTATTAAACATCTTACACCATATCAAGTATAGTTATTCATACATCAACCATACTTGATTCCACTACCACCTTCTCATGCTACCTTACAAGCATGATTGACTGACGACATCAGCTGATATTTACAACATCAGCATTACCGCAACTTCAAGACAGTAATATCCATAGAATATCCAATAATTCAAGAGGACAAGAATACACCCTCACTACTTCAATAGAATTATTTCTCTCTTTACCAAAGTGAAATATTATTATAATCTTTTTCAACAATAAACCTTGTTTTACTAAATACATTATATTTTTCAGCCTTGTCAATTATTATTTCCTTTGAAATTATCCTGCCGAGAAACTAATCCACTGAACTATTGAATTGGTAGTTCGAGCCATAAACTAAACCTTTAAAATCGAACATTTGGTCCTTCGGGCCGGATAGTCTCATCGTCAGATAACAGATTAAAGGAATCGAGCAGACGAACAAGGCCCATATTGACATATCAGGCCTGCCAGCCCCAATCGAAACCCCCAATTTGTAACCACACGAGGAATTATCAGAATACTTCGCCAAAGATTCATGATCGAGTGCAATGAGCAACATCCCACACTGCATCCTATAAGAACAACCGGAAGCCGATTACCAATGATTAAGTTACCCAAATTCAGTAGACGGCAAGAAGACTGGGATGCATTCAGTGTTCTCTTCGAAGCACTCGTTTTAAAAAGCAAGGAAATTAGTGAAGTGGAAAAGTTGCACTACCTATTCACTTCAGTGGACGAATCAGTTCTACCCTTCATAAAGGGATACCCGCTCACTAAAGAATCCTTTATGCCGGCATGGGAAACACTCACAGATCAGTTCAGAAACCCACGCCAATCGATCCGTGCCTGCCTTCTTAAAATCTTTCCTCTCGTAAAACCAGTAAAGGGTGATACAGAGGTCTTGCGAAACCTTGCCAAAATATCATAAGAGGCAATGAAACACCTCCTTTCGCTGAATATACAACCAGATTTGTGGAATTACATTTTTGTACATCAAATCTCATTATACTTTGACCGCACTACAGTTGAGTTATGGGAAGCTTCGCTAGGAACATCCACCGCCTACCCTCGTCTAGATCAATTGAAAACCTTTCTCACCACAAGAGTGAGATCTCTTGAACCAGGCGAACGAGTGACAGTAACTCCTGCATGTCCCCGAAAATCGCCACCTACAAGGTCTCAACAGACGAGGCCCTCTTCCTCTTCAAAGAAGTACTGAAACTGCTATCAGGTGGGTAATAAAAAATTCACACCGAGTCGGTACACCCCTCGACACAAGCCAAGAGGCTGCCTATGCTGTGACAAAAGGCATCCAATCTTCCAATGTGAGTTGTTCAATAATATGTCAAAAGTAGAAAAGAAAAATCTTGTAGAAAAGCGATCAGTATGTGTAAACTGTTTATGTCGTCACAAGAATGGCTGATGCAACACACATTCTAGATGCAAAAAATATCAAGGTCACCATAACACAATGTTACATGATGCATTTCAAAATGAATCCACTCTCAAGAAGGCTATTCCATCCGCCAGCAGAGATGAGGAGACAATCATCGAACAAGATTATACCAATTTGACTTTATTAGCCACAGCCATAGCAGAAATTCGAACGGGCACATGACAGCGCAAGCTCGACTTCTCATTGACCCAGGCTCGGAGCTATCATTCATCGCCAAAAAGCTTTTTGGCGTTTAATTGTACTAGCGAAACGTAACAGTAATTACCGAAGGAGAAGTCGCGAGAGACGCGTGATCATGAGCGCTCTCATTGTAAATATGAATTGTAGGGACTATCTGGTCAATGTCGGTGGCCTTTTCTACAGTCTGATAATAATCAAGATGCAGAGGCCTGGTTGATAAGGTCGCCGCTGTGTCGTGCTAATAATGGCACAGTCGGAGCCATCAAACAGTATCGGCTGCCTCTTCTACGGTCTGATAATAATCAGGTGCCAGAGACCTGGCTGATACTGCCGATGCTGCGCAGAGGTGACGATAGTCTATCTCGAGGTATCGGACAGTATCGGCGCCCTCTTCCGCATTCTGATAAGAATCAAGTTGCAGAGGTCTCCCCGATGATGTCGGCGATATGTCGTAATAACAATAAATGATGATAAGTAGCTCGCTGTGATGCCAGACTATGTCGTCGCCCTTAATGCAATTTGCCTAGAGTCAAGTTGCGGAGGTCGCACCGATAGTTAGCCAGTAATAGATAATAAATATTGTAAACAAATAAATATATCTTGCACGGATTCCCGTTGAAAGACATGTAGAACTTTCACTGTTATGACTTGCACTATTTCACTTTCACTTACTCAACAAGACTGGTTTTCTTCTTCATCTGTATCTCCTTATATACGATTTCGTACATTTAGAGTATGTAATTTTTGAAGATTTTGTCAAATTCTCGGAAAGTAATCTTCAGTAGGTTCGAAAATCTTCCTTTGTCGCTATGCAGATACGCATAATAATAAATAATAAAGCCTATAAGGTTTTCAATAAATCGAGAATTATCGTAGCGACTACTTCAAATATTACGCATTATAATAAATTTAAATGTAATGGAATCATATATTAAACAAAGCAATAAATTCTCATTGCTCGGTACGTCAATCCTGATCTCTAATTTTGTATGGATTAGCAATGATTTATGCCTTAGAGTCAAATTAGAGAGCTGGAAGTCTTATACATTTCCGAGAGCCTAAAGTCTTGGAAAATACTCTAATTCAATAATATTATATAATTTATATAATTCACAAATTTATATAATAATTTATATAATTCACCTGTAAGCTTAGAAGAAGTGAATGATTTGAAACAAGTTCTAAGACACATTTAATTCGTTTATTTAAAAGAGTTACATCATGTAATGGTTGAAGAAGTGATGTACGTAATAATTTTTTTCCTAATGGTGTCACACATTTATTTATGGCATTATATAAACTATAGTTTGGAAAGGCTTCGTTAAGAGAACAGATAATTTCTAGTAATTCAACAGTTTCTAAATCTAAAAAAATAAAAAATACAAAAATAATTCATACTAATTTCCATATGTTATAATATACACCGTGACTATTTTATATATATTAATACTGTGAAAATTTATTTTGCAAAAAACTTTACAAGTTCATATATATGTGTTTTCAGATTTAAAGGGTTAGCTTATGGCTCGAACTGCCAATTCAATAGTTCAGTGGATTAGTCTCTCGGCAGGATAATTTTAAAGGAAATCAATAACGGACAAGGCTGAAAAATATAATATATTTATTTTAAA